AAATCAGACCTGTGATTTCATATTATTGATTGGGTCAAGCTAAGAAAAGCTTAACAGTGGATTTAAAGAAATATATTATGTAAATAATGAGTGAACATAATGAAGGCCCTTTTACCTCCCTGGTTAGGCCTGGCTCAACAACAGCCTTGAGAGAGTAAGGGAGCTTAGGAGATGGGGGAGGCCCATTGGGCCCACGGGTAAATTCGGGGTGGAGACACAGGCCTGTTCTAGTTCCTCAAGGCATCTGGATCCATGGTGACACTAGCCGCTGGTATTGGGCTGATTTTTCCCCATCCCATAAGCTGAGGCAGCATCTTAGTCCCTTCTAACATCCTTTTCTTCTCTTCCAGACCAATGCCTCCACTCTCTCACTGACATCACTTCCAGATTGATTCCTCCTAAGAATCTGCCAATCAGTGGTGTCTACCTCTGGACTGAAGCTAGACAATCTTCACCACACCAGGGGTCTCCCCCCTCCAGTAACAGTAACAAGGGAAACAAGAACAGTCAGAATCTACACAGTACTCCCCACTGCACAAAGCACTTTCACACATATGACTTCACGGGGTCATCAAACTCTGAGTTTCAAGGCAGAAAGTGACAGCAAAACATGCCTGGCAGAAGACAGAAGGTGCTGCCTCCCAGAGCTAGGAGGACCCTGGTTCTGGGAGAGAAGCCAGACTGAGGAACATCAGGGAGAAGAATGTTTCCTCTCACTGGATTCTGGGACCTCAGAGAGGGCAGCAGGCCTCAGGCTAGGGTTGGAGAGGCGCCCTTCAGGCCTGGAGGGCCCTGCCAGGCCTTCCCCATGTCCTCCAGGCCCAGCGCCCAGTTAAGAGTGGGGGCCTCCCCCTCCCCCAGTCCCCTGGGAGTTGGGAGGGGGTCGAGGGGGATCAGCAGCCCCCCCCCCCCATAGGCCAGCTGCTACAGAACCTTCCGGCTCCAACATTCCATCCCCTCTTAAAGGGGAAGTTGCTGCTTCCAAACTGCTGTCCAAAGCCCTGCAGCTGGGTGGAGGGGAAGACCCTGCCAGGGAGGCGAAGATGGAGAACACACAGAAACTCTTCCTGGCCCTCCCATCCAGGCCCTGAGGCCCTTTGCAACTTCTCCCCCCGTGGCCACCATCTGGAGGAAAATGGCCCCAATTCTAGGGGGAGATCAGCACCTGGGTTGGGGAGGACTCCTGAGAAGGGGGGGATGTCAGGCGCTCTGCTCCCCTGACAACATCTGAACAGCCCACAGGGAAGAGGGGAGATAGCTAAACAAACATCGGGGCTGCAGACCCTAGCTTCCAGCCTGGCTCTAGCACACACCGCCCCCCAGGTCTCCTCCCCCTGCTCAAAGTCCCACAGCATAGCCCACAGAGGCAGGATACTCCAAATATGGCTCTGAGTTGTGGAGCTGAAAAAGTGAAGAGGGCCAAACCCAACTGCCAGACACCCGAGTCTATGCTAAAAAGGTGTCTCCCTGGGCAGGAGGCACACTGTAGACTCTGGGACTGGGTAGAGGGGTGTGTGACTGTCTATGTGGGCACTGGTCTTGGAGGACGTGAGGGGGCTTGACGAGCAGGAACTCTGCTCTTGGGGAGGGACATTCCCCCATCAAGAGGCGAACGGGAGCCTCTAAAGGGGCTGGATCCTCTGACCCTTGAAAAAGCGAAGGGGGCCCAAATGGGCCGAGTCACCCCTAGAAGTCAGAGTGGGGCTAGAAGCCAGTGTCGCCAGGAAAGTCCAGACTGGCCGTGTTGGCCCCTAGAAGCCTGCGGGCCGGGGCTCCCTGGAGGCGGGGCGAGGGCCATCCTCACCCGAAATCGTCGTCCATAGACTTGAAGAAGAACTTATAGCTGGGTCGTTGCAGGACGCCCTTAAAGTCCGCCAAGGTGACGCGCTCTGCGGGCAAAGGCAGCTTGACCAGGTACGGCGTCTCCTGCCCGTCCAGGTGGTAGATGATCTTGGTCTCACCCATGGCTCTGGCCTCGGCCCCAAGGCCCGGGCGCGGCCTGCTCGGGCAG